CCGTAAGCACAAGCGGCATCAAAAGCACAAGACATCATTGCATGAAGATAAATATTAAACACGGTAACAGCCTTGTTCCATACCAGAGATAACTGCAATGTCATCCGAGGTCTCTCCACTCAGCTGCACCCTCGCCCGCATACCACTGTGCAGACATTCAATTAAGCTTACAAACTTACTCGGACAACCAAACTTACCCAACATCAGCCACAATGCCTCGCGGTTCACCGTATCAAATGCCTTGGTGAAATCAGCAAATAGCGAGTACAACGGCTGGTGTCGTTCTCCTGCAACTGACGTGCCGCATACACCATATCTACAGTGCTGCGACCCGAACGGAATCCACACTGCTCTTCCGCCACATTCGGTTCCACAACCTGACTAACGAAGCGGTTGATCAAGATTCGGGCAAGCCACGATAAATAATAATAAAAATGAATCACTAGCTGTACGCCGTAACGGTGCTTCGCTGCCCCGCGACCACCAGCAGTCGCGCGTGGCTGATTATACCGTGAGAACACCCGTCCCTACGCAGATTCGAACCGGTGACCTTATGGTTGCAAATCAAACGGGCATATCACTCGGCCCCCGGCCGACAATGCCACGACAATTCGTACAACACTGCTTGCTCCCTTTGTCATTGTACAGTGGTAGCACAAGCGCATGCTTCAGCTCAGCAGGCACCTCCACAATTTACACGCGTGGCACCAAGTGGTGCAGCGCAGTCACCAACACAGTTCCGCCATGTTTCAATACTTCAGGTGGGATCCCGTCGGCTCCGGCACATGTCGTTTCGCAGCTGGACAAGTGCTCTCTGCGTCTCATCCAGTGTTAGCGTGTCCACCAGACTCGCCTTCACATCGTGCTACTTGAGGCCATTCAAGTTAGGCCAGTCAATCTCTGAACGGTTGTTCAAGAGACATTCAACGTGTTTTCGCCAGATCTGCATTATGTCTACAGTTTGTGTGCAGGTAACTCCTGAACTACCATCGATTTGCGTCCTCAGCGGCTCCAATCTCGGTCCATACACCACCTTCAAGAATTTCTTGTGTTGGCGGCGTTTCACGTAGCATTCCACCTGCTTCGCCTTCTCCGTCCACCATGCATTTTTAGTGCGACGGAGCTCTCGGGTCAGTCGTCGTCGAATTCTGCGAAACTGACTCTTCTTCCCCAAGTCACTGGGGTCCGCCACATGTGCACCAAATGCTGCATTCTTCTCCGACACCAATGCGCCAATCGCCGCATTGTTCTCAAACCAATCAGGCCGCTTACAGTTTGTGCGCCCGATGGTCTCCTCGGCAGCAGCTGTCACCTGGTCGCGAATGTGGTGCCACAGGTCGCCCACTGTGGATATGCAGTCTACATCACACAGGGGTGCAGCCATCGCCTTCTCCAGCTCAGTACGTTTCGCCCCAGTACCAAGGGAGAGAATGTTAAATTTACGCCGATTCATGGCAGGAGTGCAATAGATAGATTTACGACAATCGATGTACAGTTTGGTCCGCACCAACTTATGATCGGTGCCACCCTCAGCTCACCGCAGTACACGTGTCATGCGCACTTCACGTATATCACGCTGACGTACGATGACATAGTCGAGTTGGTGAGCGTGACCACTCCGTGAGTGCGTCCAACTTGCTATATCACTCGCACTCAGTGCAAACCGAGTGTTCGTGATCGTCAGGCCATGGGTGGCACACAGTGAGAGCAGTCGGTCACCGTTCGCATTCGCTGAACCAATGCCATGCGAACAGATGACGTCTGTCCACACCGATGTATCACGCCCAGCGCGGGAGTTGAAATCACCCAGCAGAAATAGTCGGTCGCTCCTCGGCCCAGACCGTATCACGGAGGATAGCTGCGTGTAGAATTGATAACACATGTGGGACCGTACGTGCTTATAAAAGTAGCAAACTTACCTCTCCCGAGTCGTAGGCAAACAGTCATCAGTCGCACGCTGATGCCTGTTCATTCACCCTCCAGCTGGTCATGGAGGCGATCGGATATTGCAAATCCGACCCCACGGTTACGTGGTGTTGCGGCAGCGTTGCCCAACCAGTAGAATGTGTAGCCAGCACCTGCTTCATGCAACTTACCTTGCTCAGCGAGCCGGGTTTCACTGAGCGTATCAGTTCCATGGCGACCAGTGCAGTGCGTCGCTCGGGGTGCTCAATCGAGTTCCGGTCCAGTAGTGTGCGCACGTTCCAGCATCCGATGCCGAGTGCTTTGCGCCCGTGCTCTACGCCAATCGAGCTGTGAGCTTATAACCCGTGGACCTGTTGTCTCCCATGGCTAGGTTTTACGGGAAGTGCGCCATCGACCACTTCGTAACCTCTGAAGAGGATGGACTAGGATACTGGCAGGGCGCCCACACCTGACAGGAGAACGACTCGGGTCCTCAGCCAAAGCCTTCGATTAAGTTTACACCCGAAAGGCAGCGGGTCTAGCACATGGTCAGTTCACTGAGTCATGCGGTTTGGTGTCCTGGATCTTAGCAGGGAGAAGGGTGTAACCCAACTCCTACCCAGCGGTTACCACGAGGCATCCAGGACGTGAGCCCATGGCTCAACGGTAGCATCAGTAGGTAGACCATCTGTCAGGGTTTAGCCACCACCAGCCTCAGCACAACATAGGCTCTCCCGACACAGATATATATATATATATATATATATATATATATATATATATATATATATATATATATGCTTGGCGGCATCCGGTTTCGGATTTGCCTGTCACTGTGGCAAGCCACAGGACGCCTGCGCCTACAGAGGGACTATGGATGGCTTGCGCTGCACCACCCACAGCTTCAACCACATACCCCATATCCAGTGTAAACCCGAAGGAATAAGACCGGGAGGCATGCGGATGGGAACCACGTTTCATCAACGGAGCCGGCCCACACTCCTTCACAGGCAAACACAAGCACGCTGTATTTGGGGAATCAACCGCACACAAGGCGGTGGCTGGACCGTAGTCCGCTCCACACTGAGTGCATGGAACTGCTCTTTGAGCCTAGCACGGCCACAAGAACCGTGCACCCCGTCCCCTCCAGCAACGACCAACTGTCTCCTGGAGCCAGTATGGGCGAGGTAGTGGGTAATAGACAGGTAGGCACCTTGTCAACATACACATCAAACGCAACCATACCAGGGATATCAAACAACAGCCATTCACTTTAAACGACAAGCTGAAATAAAATAAATCCAATAATGCATACAGCTACGGTGGCATAACTCTTCGCTAAATTACCATATGGAGTAAGTTGGTTAGCAACAAATCCGTGATAAGTAAGAAATGTCCAAAAGTTACTTAAAAGGCTACAAATGCAACAAAATTACCGAAGATAAGCGCAATTAGTGTAAGCAACGTGGCCAGTTAATAGCACATTATTCAGAGAAGCAGAACAAACCAAATAAAGCGGAATGAAATTTATCCAGCTTAAAAAGACCTAGTTTAAGTGTAAGTTGGTTTAGCCCAACTGCGGTGAAGAAGCATCAAGAATGCAACATCAGCCTCAGCATGGGGCACACATACATACATGGTTGGCGGCATCCGGTTTCGGATTTGCCTGTCACTGTGGCAAGCCACAGGACGCCTGCGCCTACAGAGGGACCATGGATGGCTTGCGCTGCACCACCCACAGCTCCAACCACATACCCCATATCCAGTGTAAACCCGAAGGAATAAGACCGGGAGGCATGCGGATGGGAACCACGTTTCATCAACGGAGCCGGCCCACACTCCTTCACAGGCAAACACAAGCACGCTGTATTTGGGGAATCAACCGCACACAAGGCGGTGGCTGGACCGTAGTCCGCTCCACACTGAGTGCATGGAACCGCTCTTTGAGCCTAGCACGGCCACAAGAACCGTGCACCCCGTCCCCTCCAGCAACGACCAACTGTCTCCTGGAGCCAGTATAGGCGAGGTAGTGGGTAATAGACAGGTAGGCACCTTGTCAGCATACACATCAAGCGCAACCATACCAGGGATATCAAACAACAGCCATTCACTTTAAACGACAAGCTGAAATAAAATAAATCCAATAATGCATACAGCTACGGTGGCATAACTCTTCGCTAAATTACCATATGGAGTAAGTTGGTTAGCAACAAATCCGTGATAAGTAAGAAATGTCCACAAGTTACTCAAAATGCTACAAACGCAACAAAATTACCGAAAATAAGCGCAATTAGTGTAAGCAACGTGGCCAGTTAATAGAACATTATTCAGGGAGGCAGAACAAACCAAATAAAGCGGAATGAAATTTATCCAGCTTAAAAAGACCTAGTTTAAGTGTAAGTTGGTTTAGCCCAACTGCGGTGAAGAAGCATCAAGAATGCAACATCAGCCTCAGCATGGGGCACACAATATATATATACAAATATATATATATATATATATATATATATATATATATATACATATATATATATCAATGCAATTAGCGTGACAACGCTGTCGACTATAATGTTAGGATTTTACTTCAGATACAGTTCACCAAGGCTGGACGATTCTGCTGCTGTTTGCTTAAACCTGTTTTCTGTTCCTCCTTGGGCTTCGGTATAGTAAGTAAAATACGCTAGGTTAGGTGGTTTTCTGGTCTCCGTTTCATATCTCGAATTTCATACTGTCGAACGTCAATGACCTAAAACGTCTTAGGGCGGGCACCATTGATCTGTGTTTTTGAAACCTACAGTCACTTTGTATTACTCCTTGTTTTAAGAATGATACATGGCATTGGTTACAGTATCCAAACTCACTCACAGCCACTTTCCATTTTGTAGCAGCTAAACATTTACACAAACGATCTTAAAAGTAATGCTTTGTTTCATCTAATTGCCCGTTGTCGTGTCCGATCCATTAATTCCATTGTGTCATGATATGAATAAGTCCCGCTATTCTGGTGCTAATCTTTATACCATGCGGACGCGGATATATCAGTTTGCCTAAATTCATATTCAGCTTGTATGATAATAACAAATTTTTACTTTTAGGACACAGTTCCACCTGGTTGCGACTGTCAACATATCAATCTGGGAACCCTCTTACTGGAGTTTTTCGAGTTGTATGGGAGACTTTTCAATTACTCCAAAACCGCAATCCGTGTTACCGATGGCGGGCAGTACGTTCGCAAGGAGGTGGTTCTGCAAAACATGGCACAAAATATTCGACAATCTATGTTGTGCATCGAAGATCCGCTTTGTCCAGGTATGTCTCGATGTCCACAAATGCGCGCTCTATTCCGGTGCCCAACACCTGTATCCACTGCTTACGCTAGTCTCTTGTATTCTACGTAGCGTATCTGCGTTATTTCTGTCCACGCTGAAGTATTTTTCAGCGCATCTTTTCTGTTAATGAGCTGTCTAGTGCATACTGAGAGAATTTCTGTGTATGCTAGCCGACTGACTCCCTCGACCTGCATTTGTTAGCCGTAGATGTGAGTGGAAAAAAGGAGGTGGCCAAGCGATGATTTGGTCTAGAGAAATGAAGGCACTTACTTCGAAGTTGGCCTCGGTTGGAACTTCTCGGTCCCGAAAAACCTTAAACACGTTTGGCTGGATACACTTGTTGGCATGGCAAGGAGCCGACTTCAATGGCGTTTGTGTTGTTTCTTTATCCCTCCCCTCGCTTAGCCTTCCCTCTAACCGCGAATCATTTACAATGCATAATGCAACTCTATTTCTTGCGGCACAATGGCCGGCTGTTAGGTCTCCGTTATTGATGACACAACCAACATGCCTCTGTTGTACGTCTTTTTCTCATCTATTTCCGCACAATAACTTCCACCTCTAGCTAACGTATATAGTGATAATGATGAATGAGGGAATTTCAGTTTCACCATCAGTCAGACACTGGACTTTGTTTCCACATTCCCTCGTCTTGCACCTGTTACACTTCTCTGACATAGTGGAAATCTGATCAGTTCGTCTAAACATCTACGATCCGGGCGTCGGTGAGACTAATTGCTACGACTCCAGTGCCAGAATAATGTTGAATAACAACGGCAAGTCGGTACGTTGAATGCAAATATAATGTAAAGCAAATGGAATCAAAAAGTAGGTGCGTCTGACTTATCAGGATGGAAAGAGAATTAACAAGAAGATGCAAAAAAACCGTACCAAGAAACGCCACTGAATGCGTGACCGCGCCATGTTTGATAGGGTCTCCAATCGTTTATGTGGATCATCCTGAGGGCCCCATCCAGGAAGACGGCACACACCAGTCTAACCAAGTCAAAGTCCATTTCTTCATACTTTTATGCCATGCCATGGACTGGCCACCTCGCGCAGCCACTACTTATAATGCGCGCCCAGGAAACCCGGTCAACGGGCATACAGAGGATATAGCCTAGTCAACGTATGTAGATATTCACATGAGCCATTAGAGGACTTCTTGCTAAAAATCAGTTAGCGGACCTCAGCATTCCTCACCCGGTGTTCCCATCAGATGTAAGCAACACTCCGCACGCACCGATGATCAAATATGGTCAATGGTTTAATTCCCACTGCGAGCCAACCATACGATAAGTTACACCGATCCTATCTTTAAGCGCAACTCACGTTCTCGTTTGACATCAAACTCTGCTTTTTCTCACGTTTTCTTCTCTACTAACACGACAAAAATCAGCCTGTCTTCCAGACTGACACCGGTCATTCAACTTGCGCACGCATTATTTCTTGCTAGGCCGAAGTGTGATTCGTATTTACAGAGCTACCACTGGACCTCGATTGTCTGCACTCCTGTGTCGTTTGGTCACCCTGACAGTATCTCAGCTCATCTACAACCGTATGCGGTTACAAAGTGCATGGCATCTCCATATCCGTGTTGGCACTGCGACGAATGGCACTTCGTTCGTTTTTGCTCATTCAGGCACCACCGATGTCAGCGGTGTGATCAAGTTGGCCACAAAGACGGATTGTGTCTGACCCGTATCACTTTCAAGCAGCCCGTGAAACCGAATCAGCGATCAAGACGTCCTACTCAAGCTGTTCATTCCCGTAGCCTCCGAGTTACATTCAAATTGGATGTCGCTTCTCGCCGGAAATTCGTTTCTGTAGAAATCAACGACCATCCTGTCAACCTTCAACTAGACACCGCATCCGACATCACAATACTTTCTAAGGAGCTGTGGAGTTTTATAGGTAGCCCACCTTTTCAAGCTACCTCTCAGGAAGCAACCTGTGCACATGGTGGTTTAATTCACCTTACCGGTCAGCTTTGTTGCTCCGTCATCTACGGTGACACTACAATCAACGATGTTTGTTATATTTCAGACTGCAATCTCAATCTCCTTGGTCTGGATTAAATTGACAAGGTGGGTCTTTCTGCTCTCCCACAATGCTATCTACCGCCGGCAAAGTCCGTTGTCCATGATTTTCCCACGGTCTTTCGCGAGGGTCTTGGCTGTTGCACACAGACTCAAGCAACTCTCCGGTTAAAGCCCGATTGCGTTCCTTCGTTTCGGCCAAAGCGACCAGTACCCTATGCTATGCTCCCGTTGGTAGATCAAGAACTACGCCGCCTCGAAGAACTGGTCGTTCTATTCCCAGTGTCTTATTCTCCATGGGCAGCGCCAATTGTGGTTGTCAAAAACACAAATGGTTCAGTTCGCACATTTGCTCATTTTTCCACCGGATTAAATGTTTTCTTCCTGGACATATTCCGCCAGCAGATTGCAGCGTTGGACAACCGTTCTATTGAACTATATCTTTGAAATCTGTTACCAGCGAACGCAAGATTTCGGTCAGGCCGATGTCTTGTCCCAGTTACTCAATGCAAATCGACAGGAGCAGGAAGATACCATTATCGTAGCAATCCCCATGAAATCGGATGTTCGCACCTGGCCAACGCTGTTCGTGTGGTTCCGGTCACTGCGTGACATCGAGCCTCGATCTTGTCCTCCAGGGAGCAATGAATTGTGTTCGCAACCGATGGCCCACGAGAACACCAACTGGAGGCCTACGAAAGCTTTATCTTCGTCGAGCAAGCCTGACCATAGTTGATTCCTGTTCAATGTTCGCCGATCGCATTGTCATCCTCTCTTCGCTTCGACCGATCGTCTTGCGTCAATTTCACGCGAGCAGTCCTGGTGCAGGACGAATGAAAGACATCGTCCGAACCTACGTCTATTGGCCGTGTATCGACGATCAAATATGGACGTTGGTTCAACAGTGTCCCCGCTGCCAACAGACCACCAAGAACCCTCCACGATTCGTCCCAAAGCCGTGGACCCAATCTGATAAGCCGTGGTCTCGCCTACACGTCGATTTTGCTAGCCCAATCAACTACATTATGTATCATCGTAATCGACGCAACGTCCAAGTGACCGGGAATAATTCCTCTGTCACATACGGCAACATCGCCCACTATCTCTGTCCTTCGCAAAATTTTCAGTCAGCATGGGTTTCCAGATACCTTAGTTTCAGGTAACGCAACCCAATTTACATCGACACTTTTCGAGGATTTCTGCTGTCGGAGTGTTATTAACCACGTTCGCACCCCACCATACTACCAGGTTGTGGACACTTTTAAACAGGTTCCCTTGAAAATGCATGGGGAGGGAACTACGGGTGAGCACATTCAGGATTTCCTCATGCTTTACAGGAACGCTCCAAATCCGGTAACACCAAATGGATCCTCCCCCGCCGAATGCCTTCTGAGCGGGAAACCACGCACTATCTTCTATGTTATGTTACCGTCGGAGAAAAGATCACCTGTCCCAGTGCACCATCAGGAGAAACATACTCAATTAGTGATTTAATCTGCGCTCGCAATGAGGCTGGACCTTACCGTGGTGAGCTATGCTGGGTGGTGCTTTTGCACCTTCAGAGTCACTCATATCAGATTGGTTAGAGGCCAGACGAACTCAGCCTCCTGGTCCTCCAGGTTGGGGGTTGGAATGAGGGTGCCACCTTATTCCTTAAAACGGACTCTTTGTAGCACAACGCCAAACCCGCTGCCTTGCGGTCAGGTTTTTGAACCAAAGGCTTTGGTTGAGAACTCTAATCGTTTTCCTGTCTAGACCTGGGCAACCTGAGTATCCTGCCCACACAATGCTATGAATCATTCGTCAAACAATTTCTTGTTGCTCTGGCCACTGCAGAGGATAATCAACGGTGCCCTATCTGCTGCACCGAGCAGGTTGGATAGGGGTTTGGATGCTACTGCTCAAGCCTTCCCCTCTTCTTATTCCCCCTCTTACGCTTTTTCACTCTTACCGTCCCGTTCCAACTTTATTTATATCACCCAGTTTTCAACCCCCCCCCCTATACTTAGCCCTCCCCCAACATGCTTTGCTAGGCATTTATCTTCTAATTTCAACTCATGCTAACGCCGAGCGTCACTCCTCTCCTGTCGACAAGCCCATGTCCAACCAAGCGGTCCATTCCAGTCCTCGATCTTCCTTCAGATCGGCATGCCTCAATGTACGCACATTACTACAGATCGGTCAACAGGCAGCACTTGCCCGAACATTGGAGACCCTCTCGATCGATATCCGCTGCTTATCAGACACCCGCCCGTAAGACTCGAGCTCTGTGCTCACTCTGCGATCCCCTTCAGGTGACGTAAGCAGTATTTTCTCATTGCGCCTATCCGGTGACGATGCAGCTTCGAGCACCGGCCAAGCTGGTATTGGCATTGCCCTGAGTCCCCGGGCTGAAGCTGCTCTGGTTGATTGGATTCTAATCAGTAGCCGGATGTGTGCGGTCCCATTGACTGTCTCCTTCAAAGCTTCGAAGTCGCGCGGGACTACTGTGTGTCTATTCATCATCGCTGCCTACGCGTCTACAAACTGTAGCGATGATTAGGTAAAGAACGACTTTTACCGCCAACTGACCCAGCTCCTTCGCCACAGAAGAAGCACGAACACTGTAGTGCTGGCCGGGGATCTGAACGCGCAAGTTGGAATGTTGTCCACTGATGAAATGCATCTGGGCGGTCAGCACAGTGTAGACTCCCATAATGATAACGGTGAACGGTTACCTCATTTGTGTGAAGATACCCGCTTATTTTTTGCGAGCACTAACTTCCGACACAGCACCCGCCAAAGGGTGACTTGACGCCCACCAGCCTCGAACTAGCTTTGGACGCAGATCGATCACATTGCTACCACTTACCGCTGGAGAGGCTGCATCCAGAACTGTCGCTCGATTTGGAGCACATGTGTGGACACCGATCATGCACTTGTATTTGCTGACATGCGGATGCGTTTTGGTGGACGCCCACGACGACGCTGTGAGCGCATTGACACCAGCCAACTGACAAAGCCAGCTGTCCTGAATGCGTATCGAAGTACGCTGACATGCGAGTTGATTAAGCGCTTACTGGAGACAATTGATGGTCACTGGTCACATGTACATCAGCAGGTAAATCCTCATGTGGTATGTTTAATAGCCAACATGGATATTGGGTCTCTTCGTGGTCTCTGGAACCTATCGACGCTCGCCGGCAAATCCCGGCTGGAAGTGAACACAATGAAACTCGCAAAGAACTCCGGGCAAGACTCCGTGCGAGCGAATCTTGATGGCCTCATTGTGCGTCAGAGATGGAAGTGGCCGCTTCTCTTGGCAACCATCGTGAGCTATTCCATCTAATACGGGAAACGGGCGGCAGGAGATCTGGTGTTAGTGAAACCATACGTGACGAGAGTGGACAGCCTATCCACAATTTGTGAAAACGTTTCGAGCGTTGGGATGAGCATTTTGAAAAGCAATTTAATCGTCTAGAATTGTTCGATTCTTCGCCGGCCAGTTATCGCCCTGCTTTGTGGGCTGGCCCTTTGGATCCATCCTCTCGCTCAGAAGTCGAACGTGAGATTGGACTGCAGAAGTTGAAGAAAGCCGCGGGACCAGATGATCTTCCTCCAGCCCTCTTCAAATTCGGAGGCTCTGCTCTTGTTGATGCTTTACATGAATTACTAGTGCAACTGTGGGAGCAGGAGACTGGAGCCGCTCCGTTATTGTTCCCATCTTGAAAGGCGGCTCGCGCTCGGAATGCGGCAACCATAGAGGAATCAGTCTGATATCCATCGCCTCCAAATTACTCGCCTCCATAATTCTTCACATACTGACTGGCGCTCGTGAAAGCCATATTCGTGAGGAGCAAGCCGGGTTTCGTCGGGGTCGTTGCGCCATCGACCATATCTTCACCTTGTGTCAGTTGTTGGAGCACCGTCACACATATTGGCGGCCCACCGTAGTCGTGTTCCTCGACATCAAAGGTGCCTTCAATTCGGTTGATCGATGTGTCCTTTGGAATTGTCTACTCAGGAAAGGTGTGCCCGAGAAATAATTAAATATCATCCAAGCATTATATGCGCGTAACCCGGGCAGAGTGAGGGCTTACGGCAAGCTGTCGCCACCCTTCAGTATCTCCAGCGGTGTGAGGCAAGGATGCCCTCTGTCATCTTTCCTCTTCAACTTCGCTATTGACGAAGTCATGGAGATTGCATTTACAGGACATGATTTGGAAGGTGTGGAGCTACTCTCAGGCGAACGACTTCTTGACTTGGGGTATGCAGACGTCATTGCCCTCATCCGTCACAGCTCCCAGACGTGCCAAACGGCGCTGGACAGATTAGCACTGGCTGTCAGCCGCTTCGGGCTTTGCTTTGCACCATCGAAATGCAAAGCGATTCTCCAAGATTGGTAGGGATCGCCTCCTACGCTGACTCTTTGTGGGGATCAGTTAGAAGTCGTTCGGAAATTCAACTACCTGGGAAGTTGTGTCAGCGCCCTTGGAATCGAAGACGAGATCACGAACCGTATAGCAAAAACTCGAAGTGCTTTTGCTAACCTTCGCCACTTATGGCGGCGGCGCTACATTACTCTCGCCCTGAAGGGTAGAGTGTACAGTGCAGCGGTACGTTTGACCTTACTGTACGGTTGCGAAACCTGGCCCCTAAGATTGGCCGGCATGAAGAGGCTAGTTACGTTTGACCGTCGGTGCCTTCGCAGTTTGGCTCACATCTGGTGGGAACACCGCGTGAGTAACGAGCGTGTTTGACGCCTTGTTGTTTACGGTACAGGGAAAGGAACTGAACCGCTCAGCACCGTTATTTCACGCATCAGGCTCCGATGGCTGGGTCACGTGTTGCGCATGCCAGCCCACCGTCTTCTACGACGTGCGTTGTTTGCTCACCGGGGATGTGGATGGAAGAAGAGGAGGGGTGGCTAATCGATGACTTGTTCCAGAGGAATGAAAGCCCTCACTTCTGAGCTAACCTGGGTTGGAGCGTCAGGGCTCCCTGGTTGGGGTCCAAAAGACGGTGAACACGTTTGGCTGGATACACTTGCTGACGTGGCAAGGAACCGACCTCAGTGGCGTTTGTGCTGTGAGTTTCTTTATACCTCCCCATCCATTTTATCCTCCCCCTCCACCCACGATCTTATTTCGTAGCGTAAAACATAATAATTCTTTTTGTCTGGAAGCTGGCTGGTAGCTTACCGGAACGATGCTTATCCGTTGCTGGTAGCTCAGCTGGCATGCAACTGTTGTAGTTCTTTTCCTTTATGTATTGCGGCACAGTAGTTGTGGTGTTTCCGACCTCTAGCTGACATGGATAATGATGATGATGGGTCGCACAAGTGGGTGCGATACAAAAATCCTCTTCGCCCAAGCCATGACGACGTCAAAGCCATTAAGGAAGAATTGCCGTTCGAAATACTGCTTGGCACGTTCGGACCCATTCCTGACCCATTAATAAAGACATTTAATGCACCGCCTGAACGGATCTCGTTACAACCCAGAAATTGGACCGATCGGAAGCGCCGTCCAACAAAGTCATTGCAACTGGATCTCCGGCGTCCTTGGTACGAGTTTTCTTGAGGGGAGACTTAGGAAATGGCCATATTTCCCAAAAACTACATTAGTATTAAGAAAAACCATGGACTTTTTGCTAGCCACCACTTTTTTGATTTTTAAACGGTGCGCGCTATCGGTCTCCGCTTCAAAACGAGCATAATGATTGGTTGATTCGACAGGACCGTTGATTGACCTAAACCACACATGAGTTTTCATCGCTTTCTGGTCTGCCTCGTATTGGTGTGTCTGGGGTCTTTTATTTTCCTTCCGTGGTTGGGACTATTGACTGGTGCCGAATTTGTGTTGCATTGTAATTATGTGCCGTGATTTAGTTGTGAGTGTCCAGTTTTCTCGTGTGTGTGTGTGTTCGTTCCGAATTGCAACACTACCCTCACGTTTTTCGTGTTATTTTCCTACAAAGGATTCGTATACCGTCCTTTCTTTCTCTTCAATTTCCTGCAGGTAACGATGTTGGACGGCGATCGTATCAGGTGCTGTTAATCAAACAGGCTTTTGAATATGCCTACGTTGTGTTGAGCAGCGCTGTGTTGCCCCAATATCACTTCTTGCATGGCCGGAACGATATGTCCATATTGGGAAGAATCATCCGTGTTTCAGAGGTTCGTATCTCGATGATCGTTTGATTTGAGAGCACTAAGATGTGATTTCTCATTTAACTCCGTGTAGCTTCGACTGAACATTAGGATTCTCGAGACACGACACCCATGGCCGTTTCTTTTTATGCATTTTTTCACATTTCATTCCTTCGAACCCGATTGGTATTGTCGACATGGTTATTGATTACGACATCTTAACAACAAGAACGCCTTTCGACATAGTAGTCGGTTTTTCAAGTTTGCAAACTTGGGCACGAATTGAACCTAGTCGAAGGTCTAAATCCTGAGATCTGCGTTAAACGTCTACTTCTTTGGCACGCAATACATTGCTACTGTAAAGCTTACACACCACCGCCCGGCTTAGCGCAGTTATATAGGTTTGTAGCCGCTGTGATAATTCTCTCTTTGCATGACCGGGGCGCATGCGTTGGCAGTCAGTCACATAGCGGTTATTGTACACATCATTGGTATCGCGCAACCGTATTCTTAGTTTTCGTACAGTTCCTCTGGAATTACGTTGTTGTAGCCTCCACTGACAAATTGGGGTGGTGTTGAGTAAATTGGCTTGTCGACTGGGGTGGGGCAACGCGAGTACTCTCGGTGGTCACTGAGAGTAACTTAGTTTCCAACTGTTTGTGTTGAATGCGATAGGATCAACTCTACTCTCATCCCTAGTTATTCACTTTCCGCTCAGTTGGAAAACATTGATGAATGATGGATTTGCGACGGCTGTTGCGCCTAGGGCAAGGAGGTTAGATACCCTGTGGGGTGTGATGTGCACATGCCACCAACGTCACGAATCACACGTTATAGAAACTCGGATATTGCCTCGAAATTAATCCTCAGTAACCTACACCGAAGCTACATTTGTCAGACTATGGCGTCCATCGTAGGGCCTTATTATTCAATGGATGGCGTAACTGATGCCCTAATTTATAGCATGTAACTGGGACAACAGGGTCAGTAGAATCTAGTCGTCCTTTACTAACGTCTGCTACATCTTTTCTCCGTGTCCCCAATGGCTTGATTTAACGATTCCCTTGGTGGTTTCTACTTAGGCCACCTACATCAACTAATAGACTCTGGAACTGCGGTGTCATTACTAAAGCATTGGTCGACTAGGAAACCCATCAACCCCAGTGTTTGTTTTTGTGCTCCCATTGCAAACTGGTTGCTACAAAAATGCCATCTGGTTTGGAGATTTGTGATTACGCTCCATAGCACAAGATTCTGGTGCTCCCTACTTCTGTGCATTTAGTCTTCGTGTTCAGCTGTGCAACCCACGTGGAGTTTGTTTGATTGGCTCGCAGATAATTGATTAAAATTTCTGCTAACACGTCCAATACTCACCACTGGCGCCTCACTAATTACTTTCATCGCGACTGTTTTATCATGATTCAAGTGTAGTCGGCAAACAGTACTCACTGTGCGGGTTGATTCGCATCACTGAGGTCTCAGTATACGCATTTTATTCTCTGATTACTCAACAACAAAGCCTCATCTGAGTGTCTGGGTTTGTCGCATACGGTAACGGTGTCACATTTACTATGTTTGTGTTAATCGAATGCGCTGAACTGGCGGTGTGATGAATTCATCTAGTCGACGACATGGATACTTGAAGGGCAGCTTACTTCCTGTGCTGATATACCCACCCACTCATGTGCATTTTTTGTGCCATTTCAGGAAACGACAGCATTCCGTCAGCGAATTCAGACCTACGGCTTGCATATGTTAGCAAATCCGAAGGCGAATTCCGTTGCAAATAGGGCCAATTCGATCACACGGACTGAGTATGTCTCAATTAAACCTACTTCCTCAGAGTGGCCGGTTGGCAGAGTGCCGTACATTCTGGCTCCAACTGTTTCCGTTCTACTCCCTCACAATCAACCACCACAACCGGTGCTACAACCTTTAAGCACGTACAACTCCGTCCTACCTTGGCCTTCCACAACTGTCTCTCAGTCAACTGGTGTCCATTCTCCAAATTTCTCCGGAAATCCGTCGTTACCGTCTTCAGGGAATGGTGAAACTGCACGCAGCACCTTAAACAACAGAGAGGAACGCAGTTCACCAATTGTTGATGAACCGATTTCGATTCCATCTGACAGTCCCGATAGTCTAGCCACCGTGGAATCTCAGGATAAACCCGGCGAATGCACTGTTCTGGCAGAGAATTTGTAAGTTCTCAACTTGCCACCTCTGATTCGTTTCGGTGTCACTTGGACCACTCATTATCTGCTTGTGCTGCGTCCCCCACTCTCTTTGACTGCTCACTTCATCTGATATGTGGCACAACAGCGGAAGGTTATTGTAACGTGAAATCGGGCAACTAATCAGCGTAGGTGATCTATTTCATTACTGAGGACAGTGGTACATCAGAAGACGCTGGCATGTCATATCTCATCTCACGAATACTGTTCATACTATATGCGTGTGAGGCCTTTTTGAGGTAATAGAATGCGCACTTTCAGTATTCCGAACACGGCGCATATCCGTATGGCTTCTGCACTGTGTGTGTTTGTGCCTGCTGATGTCATCCACACTAATAGTCCGCGTAGGGGTTGGCGTCCTTGCGGTATACTTAGCCTGTGCGCGGCTGGTGGTGGTCGCGCGGCAGCGAAACGCCGTTACGGCCTACAGCTGACACAATATTTTTATTAATAGTCCCATAACTGTTACTGTGCTGACCCGTAGCCTAGACATAACAAGCTTGTCTTGTAATCTGACGGCACCTGTTCGAGCCTGCATAATGACAAGGCGACCCTCGCAGTATTCTTAGCCCACCTGCGACCGGTGGTGGTTGCGCAGCAGCGAAGCGTCAGTATTGCGTACCGGCATACCGCTGATATCTCTTCTCAAATCTTCCTGTTCTAGAGTTATGAGTTTTTGACGATATGCGGTGTCTTCCTCTTGCTTTCTTTGGATACAACGCGGGCTTCAAGATGACACCTCCATCTAGTCATTCACCGTCTTGAAGAGCGTTACCCGCCACGATTCGATGACCACGGGGTAGAGATTTCGGCTGACTTCCTAGCGTCCCAAGTTTGAGTCATAGTCCTGCCGCCGAATGAGATCAAACAATCGTCATCATTATACATATTAGCTAGAGGTGGAAAACACCCCAGCTACTGTGCCGCAATACATAAAAGAAGAAAAAGTCTGCAACAGATGCATGCCAGCTAAGCCACCAGTAACGGATGGGCATCATTCCGGAAAGCTACCAGCCGGCTACTATGCGGCGAAAAAAATTATTATGCAGAATTATATTATGCTAAGAAATGATATCGTGGTTGGTGGGGAGGCTAAGAGGGGTGGGGGACACAGAAACTCGCAGCACGAACGCCATTGAGGTCGGCTCCTAGCCATGTCAGCAAGTGTATCCTGCCAAGCGTGTTCATCGTCTTTCGATCCTCAACTAGGGAGCCGTGACGCTCCAACCGAGGCCAGCTCTCAAGCGATTCATCGTTGGCCACCCCTCCTCTTCCATCCACCCCCGGCGCTCAAATAACACTTCGCGGGAGCTGGTGTGTTAGCATGCGTAGCACGTGATCGAGCCATCGGAATCTGATACGTGAAATAACAGTGCTGAGCGGTTCATTTCCCGTTCCTATGTCGTAAACAAGGCGTCGAACACGTTCATCGCTCACGCGGTATTCTCACCAGATGTGAGCCAAACTGCGAAGGCACCGGTAGTCGAACGTAACTGGCCACTTTATGTCTGTCGACCTGATGGGCCAGGTTTCACAGCCTTATAAGTGGGCTGAACAGACGGCTGCATTGTTAACTCTGCCCTTCAGGGTGAGAGTGATGTCGCGCCGGCGCCATATGTGGCAAAGGTTAACAAAAGCGCCTCGAGCTTTTGCTATACGGTTTTTGGTCTCCTCTTCGATCCCAGTTCGAAAATGGTCATGTAGCGTGGTGTTGCAAGCCTGCTACATGCAATATTCAACTGCCTTAGATGCAGTCCTAATGATCGAATTGACCTCTTCGCTCCAAAATAATGCGAGGTCCAGATTGACGTTGCGTTTCGTAATCCATTCATATAACGCGTTTCAAAGTGACCCTCTACTTTCTGTTATTGTTGATTATATCTGTCCCTGTTATACTTGTAGCCATCACGACCTGTGCCACCGTGTCTCCTTACATATTGCTTCTGTGCGGTCGATAGACACTCCCAGTTGAAAACGGTTTATGATTGACTCCCATTCAAAACACTTGATACGACGCTCCGGTTCCTGGGTTTTGACGTCGCACAAACGCGTGATATAAGCTGCAGTACTCTCTTTCAAGACCTGGGTCCGACCTTATGCCGGCGCATCTGCACGTCTTTCGATCAGTTACTTGGCAGATATCCGCTACGGAAAAAAGAGTAATTCATGTTTTTTTCCGTGACGAAGAGGACGAACCGTTTGCTACAAAACTTGTCGCTCACAAATTTGATTAGAGTCGGATTTTAGAGACTTTACTGACAGACCTTGACATCAGGCGAGTGCGATTGGTTGAGCTGAATGCTATATTATATCATGAGTCACGAGTATTGCAACGTCTCTGTATATTGTGCCACACCAGCAACTGGCAGCGTAATTACATGATAAATACACCCTGTGTCAATGCGAAACCAGCCTTGCTTGCGAAGATTCTACTTTCTTTGGCGCTAACCTAGCGCGCACATGCCACATCGATTGTAGCGGCTTGCAAATGAAGTTTTAGCTGTGGGGGCAGCCCTGTCTTCTGCACGTTCACGACCTGCATGACAGTGAAGGATGAGCCGCGCTATATCGCAGTTAGGTATCAGTCATGACAGTGCTCCTCCGTCATCCATGGCTCAGTGGCATAAGTTGCTGACTCATAAGACAAAGCTCGTGGGTTTGAATCCGGCAGAATTCAGCGGGTGCGCGCTACTGAGGAGTCCCAATTGGACGAAACGGCCGTCTAGCGCTTTGCTGGATATGTGGTGGCTGTCTGGCCTAGCCTAGTTGCTAGGATTCTCGAAAAGACAAAGTATATTGTCTGTGAGCATCCGAGATATCAAAACTTTCCGTGAGTTATTTCGTGATTTTTTAACCACGTGGTTCATGCTTGACGACTACCGATCTGAATTAACTCCTGTGCTGTCTGTGGAGCTGGGTGGTGCAGACACGGTTGAGTCAACACCTTTCTTCGCGGATGTACAATTTCAGTGTAATTGCCTTGTTTCACTTTCTCGGCACACGTTCACTATGGATTTGTTTAATATCAAGTGTTTAATATCAGTGTCCTAGAGGAGTCTGAGTGCTTTGACGCGCACCAGTGATACGGCGCTCTGGCTGAACATACTATCGCTTTCCCCTTTGCTTCTAGCGCCTAGTAGTCCTATTTTTCGCTAACAGCGCTGTGCTAATAATAAGCCCTCAGTAGACGTTTGCATATCAAGTTCGTGGCACTTACTGTTAAGGTAGACTGTTCATAGAAGTCGTTCAGATCTCGTACTATGCCGGCGGTCTTAGCGGAAACTCGCACCAGCCCACCTATAAGGTAATTGGCCAGAAGCCAGCCAATGAGATCACTTTTCTGTTGCAGTCGGCCAGTGACAGCATTTTGAACTTAGAGCCAATCAACGGAAGCGTTTACCGACTTCAAGTAGTTTCTGATGATATAGTACCTTCTTCTAGGTCATTTCTATTGAACAATAAAATCAGATCTATCTTAATTGTCAGAAACACTCTGTTTACCGGACACAATTGGTGGTTTTGTCGAGACCTTTGTTTTCTGACCTGGGAAGTAATTGGTTTGTGCTCCGAATAGCTCTATCATTTATCCGTACCGTCAACACTTATGCATGGTTGGGTGTGACTCAAAGATGGTCGACTGAGGATACATAATAGAAGTATCAAGAAGTCGATGCGCATCGCCTTCTTGAGCTTGATCCACAGGATCAGCCACGTCTAAGCCTCGGGTTCTTGTTCCTTATGATATAATGAACACCTTGGGGCACACATCATTTGGATCCCAATCATCAGTCCTCTGATTCTCCAGTTTGCTTACCCTAAACTCGCTATTTGAATTTTACATTTCGATTCCACATTTTGTACTCGCAATAACGATGGACTAGATATTCTTTTCCTAATCACCTTTGCCGTATGCTCAGATTTGGTAGGTTGTACTGAATCGAACGGAAAGGTACGCCATGGTCGTCGGCGTTCTGAGGATCGGTTTTCTCTTTGTTGTTGCCAAAACGTTCTCAGATGCTAGAAGGACGCGGATAGATTTCTTCCATTGTTTTATCGCAGCGTATGCGCAATCTTTTATGTCTCACCAGAAATCATGGGACAGTGTTTACGGAGCGTTATGCCACACTTTTACAGTCCGATTTACCAAGTGTTTGGAAGTGACTCGGTTGGCCTTAATGGCGTACTTTTAGAAGTCCGTAAAATTGTCCAGTGCCCGGGTCCCAGTTTCCCTTCTCTGTCTTCTTCTGTCGCTTTTTCACTGTTATTGCATCTTTCATTTACTTGGTCGTTTCTAATGCTACAATTGTTTCTTTCTACTGTTTAGCAGCTGTTTTGCTTTTCCAATATCGTTTACCTTATTCCCATGTGATTTCCATTCATTACCTTTTGGTGAATAAGAGAAGGATTGGCTCGTCGAATCCCACCGCCTTTAGTACTCCTCTCTCGTATCACAAATGGGGGCGATTATGTGTTTTACCTGCTTCTAGGTTTCTTCATCAAACACATTGAACTGCGAACCCCCTGAAATTTTGCTGGAACTGTAGTGTTCGGTTGGAAGGCTCCATGATCCAGTCATCGTTGTCAGTCAACTCTCAACTTTGTGCGAAACTACTCTACTTTTCTGCTGTCCCTTTCAGCTCTGTTTTCTATCAGCGATAACAATCGATCTGTCAGCTGTTGTCCTACATTTCACTGACGGCTAGCTCGCTTTTCTCTCATGTTTCTTGCTGCGGTTATGTGTGCAGCCCGTCTTATTCTTGCGCCTTGCTTTCTCCTTATCTTCAGCGCCTCCCTATCCACTCTGATGTCCGGCGAGCGCCAGGAGAATTCAATGGACGCAAAAGCATCAAACCACACCTTAGCATCCCATGTCGACCGTGATAATCGCAAACGCCGATGTCTTCGTCCTGTCGCCCCATCCGAACCCTCTGCCCCAGAGCCAAAGCAAGGCGACACAGATGATACCATAGATGATGCGAAAAACCGATCAATAAAACGTTCAGACACAGACACATTCACACACACATTGAACTCCAACCGACCCAGAAAACATGGCTCGAAAGCCACGAGACAGCAACAACAACAACAACAACCGCAACAGTCTTCACACGTTGCAAGCAAAGCGCGCGAAGATGCACCTTCATATTCCACCCGGCCGTCAACTTCTTTCGATGTCATTCCAAGCGGCCAAAAGCGTTCTGCGACCGGCTCGCGACGTTTCAAACACTGATAAAGCGAATTAATCACCAGATTTATTGTATATGTGTAGCCGGATGGTTATTCATAGTCTTATCCACAGCCGCACGTGTACATATGTTCTGATGCCCTCTGGTTCTCCCACTATTTACCTCTTAGGTATTATTGTACAGCATATTTTCTTTGTTCTCGTTGTTGCTTGCACATGGCGCATGCGTTGTGGTCTTAGACTGATTGCGCATCACCACCACCTACTTTCCGAACGAAGCATGACAAAATTATTTTTCCACAAAAAGAAATGACGTCAGACCATCTAATGTACTTTGTATTTGAGTGCCAGCGTCTATACATGGAGGGGTGTTTTCATACTGTAAATAGTTGTGCAAACTTCGGCCTTCTATTTCACAATGTATCGAACCTGTGATTTCTTGCTTTCCCCGCTTTGTTGGTTTGTTACGCCCATTTGTATACAACTGCAATTATTGCACCCCCGTGTTGTTTACTTCCACGTAAGATACTGTTTGCATTTCAGTCCAATTGTAAATAGAGAGCGCTGGAACACAATTCGCCGACTTTGTTTGCTTTATCGAATATTTTCGCCATGAGTGTACTCTTTCGCCTAATAAATGAGGTGCTGCTATCTCCTAGCAGGATGCAACCTGTCGACCGTTCTGCTGAGAAGAAGGAAAGGGCGAGATGCACGTGCGTTTTTTCTGGCTTCCATTGTGGTTTGAAACGCCACCATTTTAAAGTGTACTACGTTTCGTCAGTCCTAATGGTACTATGGATGTTTCTAATACAGTACCGGTGGGGTAGATATCGAGTGTTGCCCAACCGGGACTACTGCACTCCACGACTGGTTTCGGACTTTTTGCTCTCTCCTTCTTATGAGATCACATAGGGTCGAAATGCGACAGTCAACACTCAGTATGCATATGTATCGGTTAGTGCATTCCCAACTGCCCCGCTGGGGTCTGAAGGACGATGAACGCGTTTGGTTGGACACACTCGCTCTCATGGCTAGGAACCGGCCCAATAGCATTTGTGCTGTGAGTTTCTTAGTCAAACCTCTCTCCTTTAGATTCACCCTTCAATCATGATCTCATAACAAATTAATCATATGATAGCATTATCTTATTTTATTTTCCGCACTTTTCCAATGTTATTTTTAATATCTTATCCTTTTTGTATTGCGGCACACTAGCTGTGGCGTGATTTTCACCCTCAGCTATCGTGTATTAATAATGCTGAGTATGCATCTGCTTCATCAACTACGATCGCATTGACTAAGATCCACTTCAATGCGAATTGTGGTCTACATTAAAATTGCGCGTCGCAATCCATTCACACGCAATGAGTGCTTCAACATGACCCGGAGGAAGAGAGTACGGATGGAGGTCGGGCCCTTTTTGGACTCACGCCAATCTCCCCACACCACACCCCAATGGTTATGCTGGAATACGGCTTATGTGTCTCCAAATGCTGCGTAGTCAGGGAAATGGAAAATACTCAGAAGATTAGATTACTATTGAGTAGTGGGGATGTTTGCTATAATTCTCATCACAGTCCACTCTTAGTCAGCGGGTTTGACAGGTCTGAAAAAGCACCAGACATCGCTGTTTCGACCTTCTGGACCTCGTCAGTTGTGCGCCTTCCATCTGAATTAAAAGATTAATTTGCGCGCGTTAGCTGTCAACTCCTAGCAGAACGAAACAACGATAGATCGGACTGCTGCGGAGCCGTTCGTTTTCCGCTTCTGAGCATGTTGAGGAGGGCTTGGTCGAATGGACGACCCCTGACGGAGATTTAGGGAACACGCTGTTGGTCAAGGCACAAATGCGTACTTTCCGATACAAGCGGCGACAGCTACCTGTCTCCGTTAGTTTCTCCATTGTTGGAATATCGTACAAATACAGCAAGAAGATATGTTTGTGTAGCTCCATCTAAAATCCATCAGATACAACGGCCTATTAGGTTGGAGAGCATTCCCGAGCGTTCATGTTAGAAAACTGCTTGTCCAGGAATTTTTGAATTGGGACAACAACTGTGCTTCGACTACTTGTGGCGGTGAGTTGCTCCATATATACGCTACTCTCCTTCCGAGGCAGATTTGGGGAGCGACCCGCTTAAAATCCGATACTACAAGCTTGTAACGGTGTTCTCGTGTGTTGCTTAGTGTGCGTATATGAGGCAGCGGCCTCCGGTATCTCATGATGTGTTCAACCCGCACTCCACGATAATACAGGGTGTAAAGTTCTAACCTCTTGCACCGGTCTTCATAGGGCACAGCTCGTAAACTGGTGACCATATACTGTACCCGCTAACTCCTTGCTTCGACTAATAAGACAGTATGCGAGTAAACCGTACTCTAGCATTGGTCGTGTGATTGAATGGGAGAAGCGAGTGGCAACCTCTTCTGTCCAATTGCAAAGTATCTTCAAACTATAGCCATCCTTTAATCCACAGTGCGAATCCATACCTTGAGATGTGTTGGATCCGGGAGAGCAGTTGATATGCTTTTGGAACTAGACACTAGCTGAATCATCCGGTGCTAAAACAGCGCAATCAGGCGCTGGTGCAGTTGAATTTGGCTGCGATCGTTGGCCCGGAAAACAGGCGTCCTAGCACTATTTTGATGCTTAACGTTGGGAGTGTTTAGGAGCCCCGACGGTGTTTTCTCTCATTTGTACGCATTAGTAGACGTGCATGTCTACTTCGCTTGGCTTCACAGAGCACTGGGTTGTGTCGACCCGGAACGTCATTTTTCGACCAGTCTTAAGTTCCGCAGTGGCCATTGTTTTTTGGGAGGAGCTCCGGCTCGCGTCAGTCAGCTATTCCAACACTGATGTCTGCTGCCAGGTTCTGGTCTACATGCATGGTAGCGTGAAAATCGGATAGTCTCGAAAGCCCGATTGATATGGCCCCTTGATTCTCCAGTCCGCCAACTAAGGTAATTGTGAAGAGAAGGTTGTGATCATGAACCTTCACCATCTCGCCGTTCTACAGCTGGGTTAGGTTGTGATGCACTAAAGGCCGACACTACTGCGCTAGTTCTCAGTATTATGGATGTGCCGGGATGCGAAACTGCAATCAGCTAGTAGCAGGCCGTAATGACTTCCCCACAATAAAGGAACACTTTGAAACCGCATTGGTATGCGCACGAGGAATGATCACATAAGCATTGCACACCACACAACCACTAGACACAGGTAATCCGCACCAACAACATGGAGTGCGAATATGAGTGGATGTTTTGTGGTCAGAACCGATACACCTAGTATAAACTATGTTTGACACAATAAACACTTTCGCTTGCACCTCAGGTTCTTACAAGATACTTCATGTGACACGAGTCCCAGCGGTTCTCTGTTTGTATTTAATTACCCCTATCATACACTTGCTCTATGCTGAGGCTGGATGTTACATTCATGATGCTTGTTCACCGCGGTTGGGCTAAACCACCTTACACTTAAATTAGGTCTCTTTTTAAGCTGAATACATTTCATTCCATTTTCTTTGCTTTGTTCTACTTACCTGATACTCTTCTTACTTGCCCACGTCGCTCATGCTAATGGTGGTAAACTTGTGTAACGTTATGACGCGGTATTTTTTAACTAACTTTCGAACATTTTATACTTATCGCGGATTCTTTATAGCCAATTTCTTCCATATACTCATTTAGCGAGTATGTTTGTCCTCATGTACGTTAAATATATTTGAAATCGTCATTTCGAATGATTGGCTGTTGTTTGACCTCCCAGGTGTAGCTGCGCTTGATGTGCATGTTGACTAGGTGCCTACCTGTCTATTACCTACTACCTCGTCCATACTGGCTCCAGGAGACAGTTGGTCATTGCTGAAGGGGATGAGGTGCACGGTCCTTGTGGCCGTGCTAGGCTCGAAGGGTGGTTCCATGCACTCAGTGTGGAGCGGACTACGGTCCAGCCACCGCCTTGTGTGCGCTTGATTCCCAACTACAGCGTGCTTGTGTTTGCCTGTGAAGATATGTGGGCCGGCTCCGTTGATGAAACCTGGTTCCCATCCGCATGCCTCCCGGTCTTATTCCTTCGGGTTTACACTGGATATGGGGTATGTGGTTGGAGCTGTGGGTGGTGCAGCGCAAGCCACCCATGGTCCCTCTGTAGGTGCAGGCGTCCTGTGGATGGCTACGGGGACAGGCCATTCCGAAACCGGATGCCGCCAACCATATACGCGGACGTATTGTGCCTTGTGAACAACTGTCACAGGACGAGTAGGTCTGCTCAATTTCCGAAAGAGTGTGGGCAGAAAGCCGGAAATAGGACTTCGGTTCTGTAGGTTCGAGTCCGTACTTTTTGACATGGACCGCAGCTATTCTATACCATTACGAACCTCAGACACCCGTGGCGCTGTCCACTATGATCGATTTATGAACATCAACACATCCTCCCTGTGTATATCCCGGTTTTGTTATAATTGCGTTCGTTTTAGAGCACCTTGAAATTGCGCCCTGTGGGCCAGATTAACTTTTAAGACCGGAAAACGATGTTCATGTGCATAGCCCTTTTCTTGGGTTAAGTAAATACATAGGTAATTTTTCTGACAAGGTGAATACCTTTCCAACCTGGTAAGCACTGATGTCATGCTACATCACTGAGGGGAGTGTGGTAGATGGTCATTTCAATCCACCACCTCGAATGAAAATGTATTCCGTTACCTTTGCTTTATCCAAGCCCAACTGATTTCATCCTGCCCAGTTTATCGATCTTGGAAATGGAATCGTTTACTCAGCCACTTGAAACCTACATTGCGTTTATTGATATTGAGGGTAATTTTGAAGTACACGTTCTGGGGATGGACTGTGACACACAATCTCAATGTTGACCGCGGTTCCCCTTAAAGTGAACCTTAGTATTTTGATCATGAGGACCGTAGCTGAGGCAAATAGAAATTGGGTGTTGTCCTCCCGAAAACATAGTGGTGTTTTCGGGCGGGCTACACCCAATTTCTATGTGCAACATAACATTTGTTTTTCGAATATCGATTCAATTGTGT